CTCTCTCTCTCTCTCTCTCTCTCTCTCTCTCTCTCTCTCTCTCTCTCTCTCTCTCTCAGCAGGGTCTCACTATATAGCCTTGACTCTGGCCTAGAACTTGACTTGACTCTGGCCTAGAACTTCATATGTAGACCAGGTTGGCCTTGAACTTACAGAGATCCCCCTGCCTCTACCTCTGGAGTACTGGGATCCAAGGTGTGTGTTACCAAGTCAGCCATAATCTTATTTTCTTATTCCCAAAGCATCTCTCCTAGTGCAGACACAATGGCTAGTCGGGACTTACTTAGTGTATAACTGCCAACATGGAGAAACCCATTTCCCTTTCTCCCCACTGTGGTAAGAACTGCTGATCCAGCATCCTCACCCAGCTCAGGAGGAAGTAAGTGTTCTGTCTTCACCACAGGGTACAAAGAAGCCTCTTCTGCCTCTTGGGGACCTGCTCCCAACCTTGCCGGTCAGCCACACAGACATCCTCACTTCTCCAGGAAGCAGCACAGGGTGTGGCCAGCCTTCCACCAAGGAAATAGCCAAACCTACTGGCAACAAGCGCTAAAAGCCAGTGGGCCATCCCAGCACTGAAGGAAGTGGGAGGGACTGGAGGGCAGTTCTGCGGCAGGACACCCGCCTAGCTTGGGCAAGGCCCTGGGTTCTATCCCCAGCACCAGAGACAAAGAGACAGAGACAGGAACCAATTTGAACTCTGCTGTGGCAGTCCTACAAACACGGGGTGGAGGGGCACTGGGAGAGGATGGTGGCTCTACTGTCTGCTCCAGCAAGAGCAGGTCATAGCAGGACACAGAGGTGGTGACACACAGGCATGCTCTAGAGGGTCAATTTATTGACTCATGAGTGAACATTCAACTGCTGGAAAGGTAAACCAGAAGAGGTGCTTGAAAAACCCAGTTATCTATTCATGAGGCGGGAGCCGGGTGGGGGAGTTCCCAGTTATCTATTCATGGGGGGGGGTGGGGAGAACGACTGGCCTTTGTCAGCATCCACAGATTGCGGAGTTCAGATGACTAGGTATACTATCAGCTTCACGGGGCACAACCAATATAGCATTCTGTGTGTATATGGTGTATTCAGAAGCTGAGAAGACTACCTGGGGCAGGGGCAGCCACTAGACAAGAATCCTCTGTGCCCTTTCCAGTGCTGGAGATTGGATCTAAGGCAACCGCATAAGCCAGCCAGTGCCCTGCTGCCGATCTACCCTCCAGCTCCAGTTCTCTGAATTTTCTGCTGTTTTGCTTTGAACCTACAATTGCTTTTTTAAAGCCTCCCTCCAAGTAACCTAGATTATAATGCTTAAAACAACAACAAAAAAAAACCTACAGCGCCTTCTCATTGGACTCAGGGGAGAAATCAGAGCTGTGGCCCTACAGTATCTGGCCCATTTCCTCTGTGATGTCTCCAGTCACTTTCCCTTTGGTCCACTTGGCTCCGACCCTGAGCTACAAGTAGGCTCCTGTCTGGAGGCCTTTGCACACACCATTCCTTGACCCGAGATGTCCTGTTTGGAAAGAGCACGCTGTTACTTCTTCCAAGGTTCACCTTGATGCAGATGTCAACTTGCTAGCCCTGGTCACCTGTTCTAAAGTCATCTCCCCCCCTTTATATTTTCCATCTCCAGGCCCAGATTTAGCTTTGTCCTTAGTCCTTACACTAGCTTACATCCATTTCTTCATTCTGTTGCTTCTTGGCTTCTGGGTTAAGATCAAATGCACCATCTATTGTAATCCTTCTCTTGTTTATGGTCTGCTACCTTCAATAGAGAATAAGCTCCTTGAAGAGAGAGACTTCCCTGTTTTGTTCTGTCCTCGATACTGTCAGGCCTGCTGGCACACACCTGTAATTTCAGCACTTGGAAGGCCGAATTGGGACAGCTAGGACTTTGAGGTGCCAATTAGGGCTACCTAGTGATTTGTCTCCTTTCAGCAAAAATTAAGAAGGAAGTAAAATCCTAAAACTCGTCAAGTGAGTGAACATTGTCAAATGCTTATAACAGATGAGTACATACCCTCAGGCCCACAAGGCTACAGAGGAAGCAAAGCTTCCAGAGTAAACAGTAATCAGAGCAAACGTTTTCTGCTGACCGCGGCAACACGGGAGGCGTTACCTGTGCCACAGCAAACAAAACCTTAACCTACACTTTCCCAGTTGGTCTCATTCCACTTTTAAAAGATGCAAAATTCTTGAGAAGTTATGATCCCTTCAAGAGCACTTCTTTTTTTTATTCTTCCTTATTTTTATTCTCTATCCTATTTCTGACCAGCTCACTCTTGCTTAACACATGTTCAACTTCAAGGGCTTGCTGACTTGGAGCAACAGTCTTTCTCTACACATCTTTTTAAATTTTAGAAATGCATTTCTTGTTTCTCTGTCTCTGTCTCTGTCTCTGTCTCTGTCTCTGTCTCTGTCTCTCTCTCTCTCTCTGTGTGTGTGTGTGTATGTGTGTGTATGTATATTATACTGGAGCCTCACACAGGGCAGGGCTATCTACAAATTCAATATATAGCTGAGGATGACCTTGAACTCTGGATCCTCCTGCTCCTCATCTCAAGTGAGGATAATAGGTATTCCACATCAGACTCATTCCTTTTTTTCTACTCCTTTTTCATAATTTCCTCTCAAATATCGTGACTATTCTTTGATAATGCACTGTAATTTGTCTAGTAATGACTTCTTAACATTATTTAACAAGGCAGGACTTGAAACTAAACCAATACACTTTCCACATACTACCCTAATCTACTGGGGAACCCTGAACCCAACTAACGCAATTTTCAGTCTACCCAGGTCTACTGGGGGGGGAGGGGCTTGAACTAAACTAATATACTTTGTTAATATTCTGATCCGCCCCTTGAAATCCCACCCCCTTGGTGCCTGTCGCCCTGCGTCCTGATGTAAAAGCCTTCTTCTAAGGAAAATCTACTCTCCTTCCTCTCTCTTGTGCTTTTTCCTCCCATGAGGTGTGCACCCTGGAACTCTCTTCTCCTCCTCTTTCCTGTCTTTCTCTTCATCTATTACAATTATCTCTCCATGTGGATGCAGCGTCTGGGTTGTGAATTACTACCGGCCATTGCCGCCACCGCCATGCATGGCGTGCATCTGCCCATCCCGCTGCTGCATCTGCCCAGCATGTTTCCCTGCACGCATGGGATACCCTTGGGGGCCCCCTATGCAATTTTTCATAACACTGACACCCAATGTCGCTGGGCAATCCTACCGCTTTCTCCTGCCTGCCAGCAGTCTGAGGAGCTCTGGGATCCTGTACAAGATAGTCACGAGGTAATGCCTGCCCGCCCGACTATGGAATGTCCTCTTCCTGGTTTCCAGGGTAACTGACCACAGAAATG